CAAATATAAAGAGGAACAGGAATATGAAAATGAATATGAAGACGAGTACGAATACGAGGAGAAGGGCGAATACGAATACGAATACGTAGAATGCGAATTCGGAGAGGAATTGGAATTCGCCACTAAGACGAATACAAAGACCACACTGAAACGATGACGAATACGGAGATGAATACGGAGATATGAGGAAGAACACCACGGAGGAAGAACACGAAGGCGAACAAATTTACGGGACCATTAAAAAGCTAGAAAAGCGGGCGAATTTCGGCAGTAAGGGGCACTCATTGCTTCTATAATTTAACCAATGAAATAAATTAATAACTTTCTCATACTAATGGAGTGAAGAAGATTATTAAGACATATTAACGTAATAGAGAAAGATTATCGCGAATCAAAGCTTGTGAAAATTGGCTTAAGACGTAAGTATGTGTATGTCCTAAAGTATATTGGCGTAGGTGTTGGCAGCTGTCAGCTGCAGGCATTTGATAGATCCTTATAGCCTAAGGTTATAGAAGAGATGTGAAAATATAAAAGCGCATACCGCGTATGTAAGTATGTATGAGGATACACAACTAATTTTTCTAAGTTATTGAGTAAGCAAAAAACAAACGTCGTAGATAACAATTGCGTCTCATTAAAGTGAGAACTTGGCGTCCTACTGTTGTTTCCTTTCTATTCTACTCCATTCGAATCAACACAGAAGTTTATTTTTTATTTTTTTACTTTCCTGCTAGCTGCCTAGTAGACTAAGAATTGCAGTTTCAGCTTTGGTAAATTAAATTGCCCGTTTTGTTTTTTTCGTCTGCTTTATGACAAGCAGAAAGCCGAAAGAGCAGCAGAGAGAAAAAACGTTAAACGAAAATTTGCAAGATTTCTTAATTTATGACAAAGTGATTTCTCTTGGTGCCAATGCCCTGCCCATTTGTACAAACAGTCGCATATAGAAATGATTTGATGAGGTACAGTGGGCTCAGGTAAAAAAAAAATATACGGAAATTAAGGCCCTGTTTTCATATGCATATGAAAATACTTAATAGCAAACTCAAAGTAGCATAAGTAAATACCAAATACTCGAATACTAAAATAAATAGAATGGCAAATACCAAATACAATACAAAAAAAATGCCAATTACAAAATATTATATACTAATGAGAAAATACAAAAGATATAACAGAAAACCCAAACACAAAACACCGGATACTAAATACCAAATACTGAATTGAAAATACGATATGCTGAACATCAAATAACAAATACCAAATTCCAATTAGGGAATCCGCAATAAGTAGCAAATAGAAAGTACCAAATATATGGCAAGTACGAAATCTATATATATATATATAATACGCGAAAGGATTTTTTGTTCAGGATTTTCAAAATGTGGTGTCACATTAAAGCGCTTGAAAAAATTATATTCAAATTATTTTTAAAAATAAATAAATTATTACAAATCGGGTATCAATCGAAATGGTTCTGAAAACTTTTGTTTCTTAACTTAACTATAAATATAAACTTTAAATATTAAATTAAATTTTAATTAAGGGAATCGGGAAAGAAATATATGTATATTTTGAAGAGGGTTGCCACCTGCTTGAAATGTTGAATTTAGTTAACTTATACACAAGTTATATGAAATATCACAATATGGATGTCAAACGAAAGAATGTTAAGAAATCTTTAGTTTGAATAGCAAAACTATTTTTGAGCTGCTGGAGGAGTGTAGCCACCTGTTTAAAAGTTAAATTCAAAATATTTATTAATTTAAATTAATTACCTATTAAAATATGGGTATCAATCGAAAGGTGTTTGAAAACTCTTTATTTGACCTTTATTAAGGAGGGTTGCCCCACGTGTTTTAACAATCAAATTCGACTAATTTCATCAGTTTATTGAAATACAAGTGCATCGCAATGTCAGACGAAAGAGATTTTAGAAGATTTTAGTTTGAAAATACTTTTGAAGTGTGTTGCCACCTGTTCGAAAAGTTGAATTTACTTTACTTATAAACCATTTTTATGAAGTATTAAGATAAGGATCTCAATCGAAAGAGATTTATGACAGCTTTAGTATGAAAATATCTTTGACTAGGCTTACCACCTTTTTGAAAAGTCATATCGATCTTACTAAGTCATAAAATTTGCACAGTTCTGTCGAATGGGAGGTCAAATTAATGACCTTAGCGTGTAGTTTTATTTTTTTTAATTAAGAGCTCTTTTCTAAGGTGATTTGAAATTTGATGAAATTAAAAACCTGCACATTGCGAGACCTCTCTTCACTTTAACATTTTAAAATTTGGAATATTTTTTACGTTTTTTAAATTCAACTTGGGCCTTTTAACGCCACGCGGGCTCACTAGTATTAAATATTTACCTAACAAAAATTCCAATTACCAACACTGAGCTTTTGCCTAGATTAATCTTGAATAGGCATCACCGTTCAACGCCAATATCTCTTACCTCAGCACAAACACCCTCTACTTACCCAACACTGAATGCTTTGTAATTGGGAGTGGCGGTGGCAGCAATTGTTTTTCTTGATTGGCACACGAACTTTATTCCGACTCGCAAGTGGCTTTAATGCTCGTTTTCTTGGCTTGCTGCCTTGTTCGTCAACCGTTGGGTAGGCGCATTCATACAACTGGAAAGTGCGAGGTAATTTAGCAACGAGGAGTACGTTTACCTCTGTGCCATTATATACGCAAAAATAAATAAAAAATCATATCAACCTATGTATAAACATACATATACTACTCCTAACATACATATATTTACTTGCACGTAAAAGCTTAGCTATTCAAGCAAATCTAAACGTTTATTTGTCGCACCGCGCGCTGATTGAAGGACATTTCCTGAAATAATTTAACTTAGTCGTACAAATGTTTATTTCTCTAAGTCAGCAGTTCACTAAAATTTTGCATGGGACTTTAGCTCATTTATACTTTAGCCGGTTTTACGTTAATTTAAGATTTGGATATTGAAATGTTTTTTATGCACATATATGGGTATATAGCATGCAAAATGGAACGGAAAAGCAATTACCACAAAACGGGTAGACAAATCAATAATGTGTGCGCGCCAAGTGTCAGTAAGAATTTAAATTGAATTATTTATGCAAAGTAATTGAAAAATGAAATTGGGAGACTGTTTTCAATTTAGATTAGTTGAATTGTAATTTTTGGGTAAACTGAAAGGCCGAACGAGCAGACGCCACAATTAAAGACTTCCTTTGTGTAGTTGTGGATATGAAAACTATAAAATTTGACAAGGATAAAATAATGTAAGGGTGTCACCATCTTCCTGCTTCAAACATTTACAATATGGGTCTAAAGTAAGATTTGGATTCACCACGTAGATTGATGTGGTACAATTCTCGGTCGAATCTTCCATCAACATCGTGTTTTTCCTAAGAAGCTCCTCTGCCCGTCGACATTGCAAAATTCTCTAGAAGTGTGCCATGTTTCCTGTCGAGGTTTTCAACCGTCCTTCGCTGAGCTGGCTTTAGGTTACTTTCATAAGAAGAGGCCGCGATTTATTCGATTGAGAGTAGGATTATGATTGGCTTAAATATGTGCTGAGAATACATATAGCCGATTCCAATAAATGAACTTCTCTCCTCTCATTGCAATTTTCAATGACTAGTTTTTTGTTAAACACCGAAAAATTTCGAAGTTAAACCTATGAAGCTTCTATAAAGGATAATATTTTTTTTAAACGAAATGTTCGCCTGTGGAATGTCCCACTAATAAGGGCTTGAGTTCTCTTCTCATGATGTTTTACTTTGACTTTATTTATTTTTCTTTATTATATTTCTATTTTGTCCTTTATTTCAAAACGTGTACGTTTTTTTACACGATGTCAGACATTAATGCATTGTGTATATTGCAGCCTAGTAGTTACAAATTGTAAAGATACATTATGTTCTATCGGCGATATAAATCATTAGAGGGAAAGCCATTACGCCTTCCATTGCACAGTTTGTGTTGATAAAATCAACCTCAGAGACGAGCAATGAAAACAAATCTGACCATAGGTCGTTTGAGATTAGTTTGTTTGACGGCATTCAGGATGGAATTAAACGACTACAGATTAGTTCGCTTCCAGGCCACTGATGTTTCTAGGAATATTTCTCTGGCAGGGACCCAGACTACATTCTTTATGCATCGAGTTTCCAAATCGCTTAAAATCCATTCTTCCTTGAATTTCTACCTTGGGATGGGTCTTTTTACACTGAGATTTTAAATCGAAGCTTTCCGAGTAGACAACTACAGCATTAATTCAATTTAGAAGAATGATTTTTGTTGCTGACTTTATTATTTAGCTCAGAACCATCGAGGAAGATTGCAATGCAACTGTAAAAGACGAACAGTTCGTGTTGCCTATCGTTCGTGATATAGAATAAGGCTGTTAAAACTAGCCAAGTAGAAGTACTGATATTTAAACTCGATAACACGATTGTGAATTCCACAAAAAAAAAAAAAAAAAAAACTGTTTTAAGTGCCTGGCTTTTACTAAGCTTCTTTTCTAAAAATCTATACATACATATAATAAAATTGTAACAGGCCGATATCTGTAGATTATAGATATTAAAGCAAAATTAATAGGAGGGGTCTTTATTAGAGCAACTGAAGCCAAATCAACAATTTTTAGAATTTTTGTCTACGCGCATCCCTTGAAAACGAATCCCTAAAATTGAATGCACTTTTCACCGTTGTATTGCTAGAGGTCTAGCTTAAGACATAGAAATATAAAATTAGAGAGTTGCCACCTGTTTAAAAATTGCACTTTATGTAAATTGATAAGATAAAGTAAATATTGCAATACGGCCGTCAAAAGAAACTATTTTTGAGGAGGGTTGCCACCTGTTTGAAAAATTGTAATACATTAAATTGATAAAATAAATGAAATATGGCAATGCGGGTATCAAACAGCCCAACGTGCACAGTGAAGCACGCCGGGTATTCGCTGGTATTTAATAAAAAAATTTAACCTTTTACACTTACAGTCAAACATCTGTAGACTTCCAAATCTGTTGCAGGTTGTATGGAAGTTATTCAACCGGTTTCCACGAATCTGTTGAAGACTCCTTGAACCAATTGTGGATGCAGTTCAATGTTTAAAAAATGGCGACACCATGTAACACACAAAGAAATAATGTGAAGGAAATTCATAGCAGAACTCCAAATGTAATATCACTGTTTACACAACTTTTCAATGAATGTTTATTAAAAATTGCGTTTGCTAATGTGTAACTTGCAAGTAGCGCACTATAGAATTTATTTGACTTTTGATATTTTTCGTAATTTTATATTTCGTATAACATATTTCGAATTTCGAACGATTTTAATTTCGCGGAAACTAGTTTGCATCATGTGTTTTTAGTAATTTTGGAATCATATTTTTTCCGTGGCACTGTATTTTCGGTTTTATTAATTTTTTTTTATTTTGCCAAAATCACACCAATTACTGCAATCCCTTTTTTAGATTTTTTTATTTAGAAAACAATTTCACACGCACGCCCACTAAAGACGACCTCACAATTTCGCGCACAACGCCAGACTACACTGAACACAGTGGGCTTACTGTCCCACTGACTGCCTAGGCAACACACATAGAGCGGCAGCAGCAGCAGCAGCATTTACGTCAGCGTCACAGCTTCCAGCGGCGATTACAACGACGCTGTGCGGTGTGCTGAAATCAGCGTTGATGATGCGCTTAGGAGGCGATTTTGTTGTAATTGTTGTTTTTGCAGCACCACTATTTGCGATTACTGCATCGATTGCTGCTACAATTCACAAATTTTCAAACTGCCGCTGTTGCAGCTGCTTAGAGACTTTTTTGTGCTTTTTTTCGGGCATAATCGCTGCTCAACATTGTTTTTTTTTTTTGTGCTTTGCTCCTCTTCTTGCTTGGTGGTTGATAAATTTTCGCAAATGCTATTGTTCGCGATTGTTGTAGTTGTTGCCTTTGCCGGCTTCACTTTTTTTTTGCTATGCTTTTATAAATTATTTAATTGAGCAGATGTTGTAGTTCCACTTGCAGACCGATCGACATATCGACCCAACGACCCAACACAACCACGATGACGACGACGACGACGACGATGGTGTATGCAATCGCAAAGGGGAACTCGCGTCACCGGAAAGTTCATATATGACGCAGGCAATGCATAGCAACAACACACAAACGAAATAACGCACTGACCGCTGCGCCGGGAGTAAATTTGCGAATGCGTCGAATTTTGCACTGTTGAGTAGGTAGAAATGTATTTCTTTCCCTTCCAACTATGTATGTATGCATGTGCATATGAGTGTGCGCTTGCTTAGCTGCAAAAACCGATCAGAAATGTTTGCACCAACGCTTTTGCTGCCCTTCCACCCTTCAGTTTAATAGCTCCAACGCTTTTGCCCCATCAAAATGACTGTTTGCTCCCACTCTGCGTACACCGATTTCTTGGCGCTCTCTCGCACATAAACACAAAGCATCAACACCACACCATTTGGAGAGTCCAAACTCTCACGCTCACCGCACGATATCTAAACAAACAAAAAATCAAGCAAACAAACAAACATTTCTGGCGTCTGTTAAGCGACCGAACCGAATGGCGCACCACCTCACACGTTCACGTTCAACTAACGAATGAGTCTGGGGTTGGGGCATGTTGGCTTGGGAGCGTCAGCACAGTGGCAATAGTTGAAGCATGAGCATAGAAGCTTGCTACAAACAACTAACCAGCACACTTTTTATTTGCTGCCTCACCATATACAGCTCTCTGCGTACACACAGTGGTTCAAAAATTAAATCGGACGAAGTATAACATAAAGTGTTCTTCCTTCGCAGGTAGGAAACTCAAATTGGCGTTTCGAATATGCCTAAATATGTGTGGTGAAAAGGCTTTCTGCATTTAGTTGTTTCGCAGATGTGTCTTTTGTACTCTAAGCTACTGATCCATCTAAGAAAACGGTACGAAAGTTTCACCTAAACTTGTAGACTCTGATCTGGTATACATTCTCGCAACCACCTCTCAAACCTCCGATTGAAAGTACGTTGAAAATTCGTCAATAATTTGCATGCAGTAGCAAGGGGCAGTTTTTCTAAAATCCATTTAAATAATTAGCTTCAGAAGTCCATCAGAGCATTAAAACCAGCTCACTAGGCTGTATTAATAGCATTGCCTTTTTACGAAGAGGAAGCAAAGAAAACCTAGTCCAAAACTCTCAGTGTATGGCTTAAACCCAAACAAACCCCCTGTCGCCAAAATGTGGTTCTCCACTCGGTACTACTTCCTCTTCTTATCTTCTTGATTGGCGCTATGACCACCTAAGCTATATTGACTGAGTCAACTGATGCTAATTGGAAATGCCGTGTGAAACAAAGTCCCTCTCCACCTGCTGTTTCCATCCGCGTTGAATGCTTTCAGAGCCGGAGCGTTGGTGTCCATTCGTACATGACCGAACCAGCGGATCTGCTCTTCTCGGTACTACCGTCAGGTATTTCATCATGGGAAGGATTTTCGCACTGATCTCTGTCTTCAGTTCGTATCCTTTGCCTCACGCGGGTCTTATGCGTGGGTTCGTGGGGCTCTTCGCTCGTCGTGAATAACACTGTATCAGAGCATCAGCTACTGGTGACGTCGATCTGTGAGGCTAATTCTCTTCATCTAACAGAATGCAGTCGTTTTATGGCTCTTAGTTGTTCAATTATGGCACCTGCTGTTGTACATACTGCTTTTCAGTTCCCTTCGGATTGTAAAATTTTTGGTACTAGGCTCGGACTTTCGTTAAATACCTCGCGAATGCTTAAACTACAGGTAAAATAATGAAGTCACATACTTCAGAATTCTGGAAGGCTTATTTAATAAGACACAAGTTTCGCAGTGACCAGTTACGTTGTGAGTACAGCAAATGCCAAGCTCTAAGTGCACTCTATTAGCCCAGTCTTCAATACTTGAGATAAGTTTATAATACTAACGGCCATTGATAGCTGAGTTCCATCTTTCATGCCGTTCCGTTTGGGTGTGCAATCATGTGTAAGCTCTATCTCAAATCACGGATCTCAAAACACTGCTTGGGTCACCTAGCAATTAGCATGATCCGGGTAAATGCAACAGTCTTTGTCTCGTCTCGTAATTGTCTCGTAAATTTTGCTACCTTGTCAAATCAAGGCCTTTTTGGCGTAACAACAATTCTGCATTCGATAGTAGCACTATTCCGGAACCTTTTCACATATTACTTTCGCTATAACTGCGTCAATAGAAGAACAGCCTTCTAGAAAGACGAATTGTAAGGACTTCGGATAGTTCGTTTACGCAGATTTTTTACCGTTGACTTTTTCAGACTAATTTTTATCCAAAGCTGGACATGTTCACTAACGCGGTATACTTCCGTTTCCAGCTTTACGTCGGATCCTACTAAATTTATTAGTATGTACATGCAGATATAATGGCAATAAATAAAATTTAAAAGCATAGATCTAATGTTATCGTATACTTATCCTGTCCGTCTACTTTATAGAACCACTGTATGAAGGTATTATTATGTTCAGCTGAGTGCGCGCCTCTCGCCAGTGGCAAGCATACACCGACAGAGCTTTACGTATCCACGTACACAACTAACGTCAACGTAATCAGCTTTTGTAGTACCATTCCCGCGACATCAAACCAGACCAAGCAAGTATCTGACATAGTAATAGACGCTAGGTCGTTTAGTCGTACGGTTGCTTGTTTGGTTGGTTGGTTGTTTGGTTGCTTGTTTGGTTGGTTGGTTGGTTGGTCGATGGAAGGCACGCGCTCACCGTGCATTGCAACAAATACATTTTAAAGCTTAGCGCTCTGCTGCTGTGACTGTAGCGCTTTGTGCCACAACCAGTTTTGTATGCAGTCATTCGCACATATATGTGCATATGTATATATGTATGTGTATGTACAAACACAGGCACACTTTTGCATGCATTTGCACAAAGATTCGTTCATGCATAGGTTCATTTGTATTCAGTTAGTCGCCTATGCTACTTCACAGCCGTTTTTCTTGCCCTCTGACGCCTGCCATAGCCAGCCCGTACCCTTTGTGGTCTTCCTAACCAAGCACCGTTGTATTACTTCCAATGCAGCCACCACAATTGTTGTGTCGACGTAACACACTTTTCTTTTGTGGCTGTGGGCGTTGTTGTGCTCTCAGTGCATTTACGATGAGCGTACACCCAATGGTAAAATGTTAGTTGAAGTCTAACGACTGGATTTTGTGTAATGGGTCGGAATTTTTGTTCATGGCATGGCTGACTTTCCACCTTTCACATACTTCACTACTTCCGGCTAGCCTATGCCCGCCATATTGCTGAACTCACGGGATTATAACCCAATGGTGTGAGATTGGGTTCCAGAGAGCGGATATCAAAATCTAATATGGCGCTAATGAGTAGCGTAATGGTCGCTCCATCCAGCCTCACAACAAATAACTCCGAGAAACTCTACACATCTACGCTAACCGCCCTATGACAACTTTTTATTTCAGGAAATCTACCAAGAGATCAGATGGATTTACCCTGTAAGTTTACTACAGAATGATTCTAATCAGTAGTTTATAGAACGTCGCTTACAAATAGAAATCGAATCAGTTCACAGAAAAATCCAGGCGTTCTTTTAAACCTTTTTTAGTGCTGATATAAAAATATCTGTGTTTTCATGCTTTCTGCAAATTTCTCTGTCTGGTCACCATAATTCAAGATTCTAATACCATTTGCCAACTCTCTCCCACTCTCATCTTCACCTATTTGCTTTGGAGTTCATCCGCCACTATATACACCAAATCGATTCCTTTGGGTTTACAGTTCATAATTTAGTATATTTTATATAGTTCTCAACAGCGTCAGCAATACGTTTGTAACCGAAAACAACAACAACGCCGACAAAAATTACTTGTCTCACAGCGCAAACATTCGCAAACACTCGCAGGAGAAGCATAAAAGAGCACACCTGCGCCCACTGATAGGTTCGCAGGCACAGAAAATATATATATATACATATCTATGCATGCATGTGGACAAACATTTACACAAACAGACTTACAAATATGTGGGCATACTTACGTACATACATGTCTACATACGTACGGAAATACGAATATATGACATTTATTCCAATAATTTTACTAGGTGCAGTAGGAAGTGATTTAGGTGCACAGATTGCCAATTTTTGGCTTCCATTATTGATCCACAAGGGCAGATGAATAGCACCGAAACTTGCCTAATTTTATTACAATTTAAAAATATTTCCAAAAAGTAAAATTTAAATTGTTGTTGTGCACTTTTCAGCGACAGAAACTCATTGCTTTGTGCAGAAATAAATGTGAATAGAGAGCAGAAAATATTAGCATACACGCGACAGCGTTGCAGAGAGCGCGTAAGTTGTCAACAACAAATAAAATGTTGTAAGAATTGCATTTTGTATGACAGCCGAATGTTCGAACCAGTTTGACACAGACATATTTGTTGTATACCCCAGTCGTTAGGATGGTGGGTTTACAATTTTTGAGAATTAAAAAAAAATATAATGTCAATAGATATCAATATAGTTTTTACGGTGGTGGGATATATTAAGCCCGGAAGTCGTAGCCAATATTCAAGTAGTTTTAACATGGATGATTGTCTACATACATATTTACATACACTCACCAGAATATGTTTCCGTCCGGTGTTTTTTTTTAATATTCGCAATGTTTTTGTTAATAAAATTTTTCGTTAATTTTTAAAAGAAATATAGTTCATTCTGCATAAAATGGCATATAAATGAATAATTCAAAGTTTTTACAAAATTTAGGAAATTTATACTAATTTTCACCAAAATATTAAACTTTTAGAATTTTTTTGAGTATGCAGTTTTGTAGCTCACTCAATTTCAGTATAATAAAGTGCAAGTTTTAAGTGTCTATAATCTACCGTTGATTTTTGAGAGTTTTTTTACTGACGCTCTTGGGCATTTTTCCCCATACAAAAAAAAACTGATTTACTGATTTGGAAGCTGAGCACAGCGACATCGCTGCAAATTGCAGGGCTGATCACCTCGGACAGGGAGAGCATAGGAGTACCATTAGCAAACTGCGGCCTGTTGCTGGACAGATGGGCGACCATAATTCCAGAAAATAAAGTTTCTAGATAGGCTTTTCTGACATTGAGTTGGCTAAAAGGATCACTTAAGAAGCGAAAACTGTTCACTGTAACGACCTGTACCCTCCCAGCAAAAAATCGGTAATCGCTTTTAGTGGTAACGTGTTCTAGAAGGCATTGCGTTGTAATGCCTTCGAATTTTTTCGCTTCTTTTAGGCATTGCCAGTAATGCAAAGTAGAATGTCCTACAATATTTTATTTGTTTCGCTTCTTTGCGTCTTTTCAGGTAATGCAAAGTAGAATGTCCGACAATATTTTATTCGTTTCGCTTCTTTGCTTCATTTCGGGGAATGCAAAGTAGAATGTCCTACAATATTTTATTTGTTTCGCTTCTTTGGTTCATTTCGGGGAATGCAAAGTAGAATGCTGCATCGTAGTCAGCTGAAAAATGGAATGAATATCCAAAAATTCTTTTTCTACCGTTACTTTCTGTGGAAATTTGTCTCGCATAAAAATCATGTTTTGCTTTGTTCAATTTGCAGCGAAGTTGAAGTCAGTCAATGAAGTGACGTACAAGAGTGAGGAAGTACAATTTTAAGCTTAATTAAATATGCATGTATGTACATACCGATTTTAAAGAAAATCTAAATACCTAAATACATACATATGTACGCTGATTTATAAAAATTTTAATTAATTTTAACCTTTTAAGACATTTTCTGATTTCAATTTAATATAAATACGTATGTACTTATCTAGGCATTCTACATTAGTTTCTCTGTAAGGCATTCTTTGTTCGGTTCTCTGGATTCTGTTTATCCATGCGTCCTCCCTTCGTTTGAAGGTAATGCTGCGGGTAAGGGCTTACCTCCAATAACATGCTCATGTTAAAATAAGGCCTTCTTGAAGGGAAACGGTAAGCGATTCCCATCGCCTAGCTCGTTTCCACTTTCGTTTCTGTGGTAATCGTGTTTTTTGCTGGGCTATGTTCTCTCTTTATATTCATTTGTAGTGTGACCTTCTCCCAAGCACAACATTATTGTAATAAAAAGCGAAAAGTTAGTAACGTATAAAAGTAGTTAGAGAATAGGAAATCGAACAAAGCCAAATGGATTCTACGTCTGAAGGTTAGTAAAATACGTTAAAAAATTTGTGAAAACTAATACTGTAACAGAAATTTTTAAGAATTAAAAATGTAAAGGTATTTTTTCGTTTATTTTTTAACAAAATTTGAGTTGTCAAATGCAAAAGTAACAAAACGCTGACGAATGCTGCTTTTAAGCCTATTATAATTTACGTAGGAAAGTATTAGCTACAGAATAAAACAAAACTCAGGTGCTCATCTCTGCCTCTTATATTTTTTTTTGGTTTTTTTTAACACGAATTTATACGAATTAGTTTCACCTGTATGTAAAAATGTCCAGCTTTTTAATTAGATTTCACAGATAGATTTTGAGTATGCAGTTTTGTAGCCCATTCAACTTAAGTTTAATGAAGTCACGCTTAAAGTAGCTGGGACTTACGGTTGATTTTAGAATTTTTTTTTTTTGTTGAAGGTGTTGCTCATTTTCTTCATATCATCGAATAAACTTCGTATGGAAGAGAACGATTGGCACCGTCAACAAAAAAAAAATTGTCAAAATCAACGGTAAGTCCTAGCTGCTTCAAACTGTCGCCGCTGTCTGGAAGACAAGGTGGTATCATACCAGCACTTCCTTCGCAGCTGCCCGGAATGCGCTCGACCATGGTTTAGGCACCTCGGTGCGCTTTTCATCAACACTCCCGAAAAGCTCTCAGAAGTGGACATCAGCAGCCTGGGGCACTTTGTTGTGAGCACCCAGCGCTTCTCTTAGTTTAACACAGTTACCAATTAAATAATGTTTAAATGTTAATCTAAAAAATAATAATCATAAAATAACGACTAAAATTTTGGGGTCATAAACTTTACGTCCCTGGCGAGTCCTAAAAACAGCGAAACCCGAAATTTCTTCGTAACTTTTTCATTTATGCCTCGATCTCAAAGTGTGATATTATCGTTAATTTCAAACTTTTTTCGCGACCCAGTCTAAACAGTTAAAAAATAGGTGCTGCATTTCAATATTTTTTAGATTCTTGTAAGACAGATATTTTTTGTGACTTATCAATATACATATGTTCAGATTTTCTATCGATATGTTTATCGATATAGTAACAAACATTTTTATCAATATGTTCACAGATATTGTTATACTAAGTTCACATATAAATAGATTATCCTCATTTTCGAGCTTAACTCCCTAATGTGTAATTAGAAAAAGAGATTAGCCAAATAAAATTCGTCCCTTGTTAATCTGTATTTATAAAATAATCTCATATTTAACCGATAACTTTTCGGTGTCCATCCTAGTTTTATCGATTGTTTTTGCGAAGAAAAGGAGAAATGGCAAATGTAAAAGTAAACAAAAATGGACGCTAGCAAGGAAAAGAGGTTTGTGAAGGTATTTTTAATAAAATGTTAAGTTAAAATATATTTATATTGCTTAATATAGCAGAAAAACGTGATCACGGTGGCACAGAGAGGAAACATAACTTATCCTGGAGATGTGACAATAACAAGCACAAAAAATTTTACGGCTAATAATCTGAGATTTACCTGTGTAAACGGGGTGATTAAAAAACGAGCTTGAGATAATATTTATATGTGAACATACTTTTAGTGACATCTTGTTTATCGATATATTAAATATTTTCTATCGATATTTTTATAGATTTCTTCTGTGGATATCAATGTGGCTATCGATATTGTTATCGATATACTTAAAGTTGTTATCTATCGCTTGGAATGAGTGGAACGTGAGTTTTCAAGTAGTTTTCAGCGAAAACTGATTTTCGTTTGACAGATTTTACTTAGACGAAAACACAAATTTTAGGTCGAAAACCAGTTTCAGCAACGAAAACATGTTTTCGATGTCGGTCAGAACGTGGTATTAACCTAAATTCCGATGTTATACAGAAATTATAATACCGAATCCGTTAATCTGCCACTAAAAAGGCCTTAAGGGAAAAAATGTTGGGAAATGATCATAAATTGTGACGAGAACGGGTTTTTACAAGTCGCTACCACTCCACGGGAGCTGGGTTCCATGGTCCAAGCAACATCTAAATTAAAATAAGTTTTTTTAAACAGCTTTCGCCTTTCCACGAGCAAGTGGATTACTGCCATTAAAAATCTTTTAATAAAATCTATTTTCCTTTTGGAGGTGGAAAAGAACTGTAGGTCCTTCCATTTGTGTAACACCATTAAGACGTTCACCACAAATTTGAGGACAATCTTGGTCAAATACTTACAGGGAATTCTGTTTAAGTTAGTAAAAGTTTTTGTAAGACAAATGAAAGACAGATGGCAAGATAGTTCAAAAGACTTTTGTTATTCTAACTAGCACAAAAGTCTTAGAAACAAAGCTCTCTCATTCACCACGCGTGGTGAAAATTTATTTCGACAGAAAGTACTTGTATCTTAAGTAATTCGATAGATCCGGGTTGGAGTCCTGGAGCAGCAGTTTTTTTTTTTAATTTTGTTTATTTGATTTGTTTTCTTTTTTTATCAAATTTGCTTTTAATTTTTAGATTGTATTGGTTCAAAAATAAAACATATATATTTTTTAATTTTATTTAATTTCTGACTTTAATTTTAGGTATTTTTTTCTTTTTACATTTAAATTTTGTCTTAATTATTTTTCTTAATTATTAGATATTATTTTTTTAGAATTTCAGAAGGAAGAATATATATTTTTTAATTTCATTTAAGTTTTATGAACTGATTTCATTTTGTTCTTTTTAGAATAATTCTTTTTTACTTTTTTTAAATTCAAATTTTCTTGAAATCTTTAGATTTTATTGTTTATAAAAGAAAGACATTTCTTAATTTACTTTTTTTTTAGAAACTTATTTTATTTATTTATTTTTTTTTTGTTAATACCATTTTTTTAATTTTTCGATTTTATTGGTTTAAAATGAAAAATTAATTTTTTTATTTCAATTAATTTTTATGATCTTATTTTATTTTTTGTCGTTTTTAATAAATTTTCATGTGTTTTGTCTAAATTCAAATTAGATATATCGAGTAATGTAACGTCCTTAAAAAAGAAAATGCTAACTAGTAATTGCTATGTGCATTTGGTTGTATTCCTAGCGATATTAGACAATGTCCTTAATTTCAATATTCTTGACAGATGTTTGCTTTCAATTGAGAATAAAGATATAAAAAAGCAATTAAATATTTTTTTTATTTTTTTTTAAGTATGTATCGGTTTATTCTTTTTTTGATAAATTAATAAAATTAAAATAAATTATTTTCATTTTCTTAATTTAATTTTCTCTTTTATTATTTTTTTGTTGTTTTAAAAAGAGAAATATATAAATTTTTAAAATTTAATTTAAAAAAAAAAACATTGAAAATTTTCCAATCTTTTGAACTTTAAAATTTTATCTTTTCCAGAAAGTTGCAATTTTCACCTTACCAGCTTTTAAAAAGTCTAAAAATTTATTGGATGCTGTTTTTTGTAGAAAAAAGGGGGCACTTTTTCTTTTTTTCGCGTTTAATTTATTTTAAGAAGTTTTTCGGCACTTAAGTACCTATTGCACTAAAGCCTTCGACACTTATTTTTTTACCCGATTTTTGTTAACGATTTAGACTTTATTGTGTTTATTGCTTCCATTTTATTGCTGTCACATATATACTTGTTTTGAAATCTTCATTAATGACATTCTTCAGCGGGGCGCCCAGATCTGCTTTACCAACAAGAAGGCTGTCTGTCCACTTTGTCTTTCGCTCACCTCTTGCCTTAACATTTGTAATGCTTTAATCTCACAAAAAATAAATAAACGAAAAAATGCAATAATTTTCATTCACTTTCGTTGCGCTGCCGCTGCCGCTTCGAACTCTCTGCAGTTCGCGGCTCCCAATAGACATTATTCTAAAAACAGTGCGCGCGTACGCTAATAAAATTATTTCAGCATTGCTTTTAGCACACTATACTCCCACGCGTTCGTCGTAAATCAACGACTACGCCCCTTGTTCCCCTTTGCATTATCACACAAATCAGACAATGTCATCACCGCATCTCTGTGAATTCGTACCGAAAAAGAAATGACATTCACCGCAGCAGACGCGGCCGCGGCCACGACCACGTCTAGCGATCTGTGCCATGAACGAATTGGTGGTCCGTCTGCTGTCTGCTGGCTGCTGGCCTGTCGCCATGCTCGCGCCACCCATTCACCACAGTCTCATTTTGTGCGCCCATTGACGAGCAACGGTATTCGACGTACGCGTACGCGTCCCAAGCAATTACTACGCACCGTGTAATTTTGCCTTTTTCCGTGCAATTGATTGACAATTCGCCGGACTCGTGTTTTCGATATTTTCCGAGACAAAAAAAGGACTTGTAATTTGCGGCGCCGAGATGTATTTTGATGAAATGTAAAAATTTTGTGTGAAGGAGACGTTTATCATCCACTTGCGGTTATGTGACTCACAGTTTAAGCTAACGCGTGAATTTACACTCCCCTCTCGCGTCCGCTAATCGCGCAGTGTGTTGTTCCAGTATCTAGTTGTGATCGCCGCGCAGCGCCATCATCAGCGCCAACGTCGCACCGCCTGACATTGGCATAGAACTTTTCGTGTCTCTCGAAAGTGGAGCACAAATTTTCGCACAGTGTACGCGCTGCGCATTTAACAAAGGAGGAGTTGCATTTAATTGAAAAATGTCATTTTATGGACAATATTTGCCACAAAGTTTGCACGTGCTTGCGTCTACTTGGTACTGCAAATACTTCACCTTCAATTAACCTCGCGAATTTTTGGATGATTTTTGGCGCTTCGCCGCCACTTTTCGACATCTGCTGCTGATTTGCTTTTTATTATTTTTCAATTCGATATTGAAAATTCCATTTCGTCTCTCACTCACACTATTCTCTATTATTTTCTTCTCATGCTACGCATATTCACCACACACGCAATCTCTTCGTTGCTGTGGTGAATATCGTGTATGTATGAATAAATTTGGTATAATGCAAATTTCGGAAAATTTGCTGAGAGTAATTTTCATGCTGTCAACAATCGTCGCGGTGACTGGTAGGTATTTACGTGCGTACATACTTACATATGTACATATATAGTATATAGATATATGTACATAAATATAAATATGCACAAAAAAAATTTGCGGGGCTTCCACCAGGACTATAAAATTTATTACATTTTAAGACTTCCGCCAAAATTTTCGAACAAAACTTTAAGATGGAAGTGAGCTGGACCGAATTGAAAATACCTGCAAAAAATCGAGTTTTTTACATAATATACAAAATTATTTTTTAAAAATATTTTTCCAAAAAAATCACCTCAGAGTTAAGCTGCTGTGATTTTTTGAAACAAAGAAAAAAATTCTAAAAATCAATTTTACTAAAAAATTTTTAAATTCTTGGTGGTATTTGCAAATCGGACCAATTCTCGTTAATCTTAATATTTTTTCGAAATATTTTGGCAGAAGTCTTAAAATTAAATAAACTTTACAATATCGATGGCACAACAGTACCGATTTTTTATTTATTTATTTTTTTTTTTTTATATGGAGAGTGAGGTGCCCTAATATAAAGGTATAGTATGTACGTTTATACAGATGCATATACATAACTTCGAGTATGTGCATGGGAGCATTTTCTTTGTTGTCTAGGGAAGTGTGCCGTAGGCGGTAGTGAGAGAATTTAGCTTTGCATCGATTCCATTAGGTACCCGTACCCATTGCAATGGAAATATTAGTTGGAATAATAATGTTATACTAGAATTAAAGAAATAAATTTACTTATTAATGGTTCCTCTTAAAACGACGAATCCCAAATCATTATTGGTAGCACAGTACGTGATATTTTTATATTGAAAATGACTACACAACTTTTCGACACCCAATAAGTCAACGGGATATAGAAGAAAACAGAGAAGCCGGGAAGCAAATGGTTGGTGGTGAATTTAAAAAAAATCCCTTTAAAAAAAAAAAATCCTATACTATTCGGCTTAAATCAGTTAAATTTTATACACAAGTAAAACAGAAGGCATCTTTTCGGAACAAAAGCGTCGTGATTGGTGTCCTCCTCGATATCGCCCGGGCGCATTTAGTCAAGTGTGCTAATCGAGCCAGAAAGTAAAAGCTCTGAGGAAGCAGCTAGTTATGGATAGTACCTCTATCCAGCGTAGGATGAATACTGACCCCCCCCCCCCCCCGTATCTTATAGATTAGTGCTTAAACTTAGTCACAACTTGGTCCGTTTCCTGCCTACTTGCTATTAATCTTGTTAAAACGTAGCTCCCAGTCGATATAAAATGCCTAACACCCAGCTTCCCCGAATCAGTTGAGCTCCGGCTGTGTTTTCTGACAGAATAATGTATTTGGTTGCTATCCTAGACAGGAAACTATGATGAAAGATATCAGTTGGGCCGTGGAGAAAGAGTTGGGCTTCTACAAAGGTAAGCCATACTTAAGCCAATTATCTACTAGGGTGTCATTTTAATCTATTTCCTAGAAAATGTTACATGAGCTAATAAATTGTTCTTTGCGCTAAGAATCGTTGGCTTTTTCTTCATCCTAGCGAGTCATCCAATAACAAACATTGGATCGGTGGGTACCAAGGCTAACTCAGATTGGATCCTTCGTTATAGACATCCTTCCAATGGGTGAAAGGGATAACCGCAAGATAAGTTTTGGGGATTCGCGCAGTGTATTTCTAGTAGTCTTCCAGTGGGTTTCACGACTGGCATTGCGGAGAATTGAGTGGCTTATGAATTGGCTTTACAGAGTATCTTTGAGGTCATCTGTTCAAGTAGAGAGTTCCTGTGACAACCTATGGACTTCTCCTGGACTGGCGGGGTTTTAGTCGAATCAGCTGGTCGAAACCGCGGTTTACCAAGTTGCAAAGTGCTTCTGGTCCGAAGTTAATCGTGGGAAGTCAAAAAAGCTTCTTACTGTGCTAAATTAAGGGTTCTTATAGCCTTGAATAATACATGTAACCACTATTATGTAAATGTAACTGGCTTCTCCCGACACTCACAGAGGGTACTCAAAATCGGCAACTAGGCTTTTTGATGAAAGTTTTGAGTCTAACCATACCAATTCTTCCAACTTAATTGAATCCTATACATTTCTGCTTGGTGTGAGTTTATACTACGACAATTTTCAGGTTTTCTTCCTTGAATTCCTTTACCTTCGAGCAATAAATTAAAGCCCATCAATCCATAAAAGAGATCTTTGAGATTTTTCTGTCTACGTGTCTTCTGTTCTTGGGCAAGCGTTGGCGTATAATCAAAACAAGGTACGCATGGAGAAAGCCTTCGAGAACGGAGGCAGAGTTTAAGGAGCCCCAACAAGGAACCGGATCTGCTAACTTAAGAAAAAATATCCATTCGCCGTTTGTTGTTATGCAAAAGAGATATTTAATTTAAATTTATTTTATTTTTGGGTTCTTGCTCCGTCCCAAAACTTTTATGGCCACATTCATAAAAAATAAAATAGATTTAAAGAGCTTTATGAAGTGAAATTCTTAAACAAATTTATGATTTAGGATGCATTCTTAATTTTTTATGAATATGGCTGGAAGTTAATATAAGGTATTAAGAGAATGGGTAAAGTGTCGAGTCTTCATATCACGCACTTTCTTCAGAGGTGTATCAAATAAAATTTTTCTCGCAAAATATATTTAAACACCTTATATGTAATTATCTTCCATAAAAAACGGAAATCCTTGTTTTACAATTAAAAAAAAAAATCTTAATTCAAAAATGTAATAGTATTAACTACCCAATAAACATTGGGCTTGGTTAACAATTCGAAAATGATTGGAACATTTAGCTTATCTTGTCAATTTAACTGAATTAAGTTTTTTAAATAGGTGACAAACCTCTTCAGAAATATTTTCGACAGTACACTTTCTTAAACGTCTTGAATTTGATACCCACATTGCAATATTTCATTTATTTTATAAAATTTTTCAACCAGCTGTCAACCCTCCTCAAAAATATTTTCGGCAGTAAACTTTCCTAAATCTTCTTATATTGATAACCATATTGCAATATCTAATTTACCCTATCAATTCAAATAAATTAAAATTTTTAAAAAGGTGGCAACGTTCCACTAATTCCAAAATATTTACGTTGTTCCGGCAGTGTATATTGCAACATTTATTTTATCTTAACAACTAACTTAAACTGAATTTTCCAGACAGGTGGCAACACTATTTTTTCTATATTTTAAGTTAGACCTCTAGCAACAGACAATGCAATCAATTCCATTCATTAGTTTTTCTAGTGATGCCCGTGCAAACATACAGACAGACAAACATTCTATAAATGGTTGATTTGGCTTCTGTTGCTCTAATAAAGACCCCCGACATTAATTTTTCTTTAATATCTATAATATACAGACATCGGCCTGTTACAATATTATTATATGTATGGATCTCCATATCAAGTTCTAGTACTCTAGCACAAATAGGTACTTTCAGAGACATCTAGTTTCGAAGTTTCCGTTTGTACATGAAGTACCACGCCTTCTACAATAGCGCCCATTTTTCCCTTCCTTCCTTTCCTTTAGTGTGGAATTGATTTGATATGTATATCTCCATACACAAAGTTCCAGTGCTCAACCAAAAATACTTCCAAAGATGTGCAGTATGAAAAATTCCGTTTGGTAGGTGCCACGCCCCCCTCCCCCTCCTATATTTTAATTTGGGCTAAGTCGCACCGATGTAGAAAGTTTTAAGTAGATCGGTTGGGTTGTTAAAGCGGGAAAGCATAACAAACAAACAAACAAATAATATAAGTAAGGAAGTAAGGTTAAGGATGGACAAATTTCAGCTCCTATTTACAAAAAATAAAAAATAAAAAAATTTAAAAGCAGAAGTTCTTAACTATAGAAAAGTACCAGAATAAGCAATATTAAGTCTTTAGAGCTATGAGAAAATTTATAACGCTCTCGAACGCCTTAAAAGATCCTTTGATTATATAAGTAGTATTTTCCTCCTTTCTTCTCAGATTGTTGTTCGAGCCGATTATTACTGCTCAAGGAACACACACTGCAAATCGTGCAACAACAACAGCGACTGCACAATATCAAAAGCGCTGATTATGATTACAACAATGAGGATTACGATCAACTGCAACAGCAACAACACCACCAACAACAGTTGGAGCAACAGCAGCAGCAACAACAACAAAGGATACCACAATATGTGGAAATAGTGAACAGCGAACTGGAATTTAATAAAAACTATACAGATGAGCACACGCGCTCCAGCGATGACGATAATGAAGAGAAAAGCACTGAAACGCAAATTTTTGGTGAGACAATACAATTGGGAAATTTCGGAAGTGATTCATTTGAAAGCTTGCTTGGTATTTTCGATGCAGCGGCGTTTGAGACAACGACAGCGGCAACAACACCTAGAACGACAACGACAATGGCAACCAGCACGGTGACAGCAGCAACAATGACGACAACAACAGCAAATGTGGAAAGCACAACTACAACAACAGCAGAAACAGCAGAAACAGCTTCGACAGAAACAACCACGATAGTACGTACAACAGCTGAAGAAAGCACGACTTTGATGGCTGAAGAAGGTACCAGTACCCATAGCGATAGTACTTCCACAATCATTGTAAGTGTTGAGACGGTTATGGAGCCCAGCAGCACTATGCCAACAACAGCAACTGCTGCCACCACTGCTGCATCCTCGCTCGCCGATGGCGTGGAGAGCGTCATGAACGAATTGAAGTCGGTGCGCGATCTACTCTCTCTACCTTGTAGCGGTCAATTTCTTACGGAATTCTGTCTAAATCGTGGTCGCTGTTTTCGCTATCCCATCGGCAATGATACGATACATTCGTGCATATGCGCCGATGGCTATATCGGTGAGCGTTGCGAATCGAAGAGCATGAATGGTGAGTAAATCAAATTGCATTATGGAAAGCGTGAAGGCTTTCACCATCCACTTTTCTCGTCGTAGGATCCTTCGTGCCGTCCATTGCAGGCGCCAGAAAACAAAAGATTCTAATGGCGCGTATTGTCTTCTCATTCCCCATGTTGGTGGCGCTCTCTGTCATATACATTATGATTGGTGCGGCGGTTGTATTCAAGCGTCCCGCTACACCACCGCCAACGGCCTATATCTCAGCCAAGGAACGATTCGAGCTGTTGTTGCCCGATGACGATGCTGGCGAGTTTATAATGATGAATTCCTATCCAATTGCTGCTGGCGCAGCAGCAACTTACTCAGCTTATGCGGACTAGTGCAATCTGTTTGCAGACAAATGCAAAATTCAAATGTTTTTGGAGAAAAAGTACTTAATTTTAGTGTAGATATTTCTATTACCACTTTTGAATGCAAAACACTCGTAGAAGTGTAACTTGTAGTTTCAAGCACTGAAGTGCTTCCATTTTTGGCCAAGAGCGAGTTATCTTGAGCCGCCGCGCGTAGCTATGTTTAACACAACGCTTGCTTTACCTTCGCATTATTTACACAAACACACACTTCGTTTAGTGTAAATAGATACGTAGTTTGTGTGCTATTAGAAAAATATTCTTAGTCGCAATTAATATATATGTAGTAATTTAATTTATTAACGCTTCAGCTTTCCACACGTGTGAAAGTAATTTGTTTTTTCTTCTTTTTTTTTCCTTCCACATGCATTACTTTGGTGAGCTTTAAAGCTTACCCCACTTATGCTAATGCTTTTTATTAGCTTTAGTTTGATGTACATATGTAGTTTTGGGGAAAGCGCGCATTCCCAATTTAATTTATTTTGCCAAATTTGGTTAAAACTACTTTTTGTTGGTTTTCTATGCGTAGATTTTTGTTTCTTTTGCTGAAGCTTCAGTCGGTAGTTAGACTCGTAGTATTTTTTTTTTTTTTTAATATTTAATATATATCTATTTATATATGTAATCTAATCACTACTTTTTCGTATTTTTTACTGCACTTTGCAGTTATATTAATTTATTACTGCTTCATTTGCATTCGAAATGCGTACGTAATCTGTTGTACAAATGTATGTACTTGTTTTACGAAATAAAAAGATAATAAAAATTTAATTTATAACAATATAATGCTTTTTAATCGGATTGTTAAACTACACGCATCGGCAAAGTTACAAGCGCGCTACATATGACAAGTTTTAACAATTTTTTTTTTTTTTACAATTTATTGTTTTGATTTTTAATTTTAGTTATTTTCCTTATAAAATCAAACCAAAAACCGCGTAAACTAATTTTAAAACCTTGTGCAGTATTTCGCAATATTCAACAAATTTCGTAAAAATTTTAAGCTTTTTAATTTGATTACTTATAGATGTTTTGAGGGCCATTCAATTTTAGCATAATAAAATGCAAATTTGAAAGAGCTAGGATTTACCGTTCATTTTTGGCATTGTGTTTCTTGCCGACGGTGTTGTACATTTTTTTTTCAATATAAAAAATTTTGGAAAATTTTTTTACATATTCACACTTGTTGTCAACTAATTAATGTAAATAACATTTTGACCAGCTTTGGCTATATTTCTTTTGTTTATTTAATGTTAACATTACATAATCAGCACCACCTAAATTCAAATTTCAAACTTCTTGCAAAAATTATACAAATTCAACAAACTTTAACAATTACACCCAAACTTTAAACTTTTTATTAAAAATTAGTAGGTTAAAGTGCAAATTTTAAAATCCTAGAAAATCGCGTTGATTTTTAATCTTTTTTTTCTGACGGTCCTAGGCATTGTCTTCCATATAAAAGTAATTGTCGAGCATGCTTTATATCAGTGATTCCCAAAGTGGTCCACGGGAGACTCGACGGCGGTCTACGATGGTGTGAAAAAAATATGGCGGTGCACGAGTTGTAAATGGGGGTCCACGAAAATGTATCTGGTTTCGATAGTAAAAAAACCAAACTATTGGCTGGTTTTACATATCAGACATATTAGATAATACCAAAAAAAAAAAAAATAAGGGAGGGTATTTCGGGCGAAAAAGGATCGTATTGAGACCTTAAAAAGCTTTAACTTTCTTATTTTCAGATTTCTTGGCAAATAATTTTTAGAAGCTACTGTTCTTGTGCCACTCTGATAGATAGCACTAAAAAATTACTTTTCAAATTTTTTGCTTTTATTTGATTAGCCGGCTTGAAACACATTTTTTAGTTAAGTTTAGTTTTAGTGTTGCCACGGTCAAATGTTTTCTCGTACCAAAACCAACCAAAGCCTACCAACAGTGTTTTGGCAGTTTTTAACAATTCCAATTTTGGCAGTTTTTAACAATTCCTTGATAACTATGAAAGTATCATATTTTTTATTGCATTCAAAATTTAAATTATGTAATGTAAATCAAAAGTTCATTTTTTAATAAATTTAAGTAAATTTTTAAATTAATTCTCAGCATTTTTAACAATATTTGCCCTATTCACAAACTCACTAAGACCATTGATTTTAACGAATATTTAATTTAATATTGTTATGTCAGAATACAAATTTTTTCTTGCCAATTACTGAAATATATTTACATGTCAGCCAATAGGTCTAGCTCTAGCTAGCGCTATAACTAACTATTAAGGTTTATAGATTTTTATAGATAGGTGAAATGCCTGTAATGACACATAGTGCATCCGTTGGACAGCTCCTGTTATGGTCACGCAGATCGGTTTGTGCAGCTTGCACAAGGTAGCAGCCGCGTTTACTTGCCTAACTTGTGGCCAGAAGGCCAGAGCCGTGTTTGTAATAACGGGTTTTACTGCCGTTTTGAAATATCAATACGCTAGTTGGGGTTATATTCCCCAAGTCTTACCACGAAGTCTCTAACCGACCTAAAAAGCTCTGGTAGCCTTGTTGGTAACATTCGAGATGTGTGAGTTCTAATTGATCCTTTTGTCCAGACTTACCCCTAAATAATTCGCCTCTTCTGAGAACTCGATTTCTAGCCCTGCCAAGATGGGTCTAGTCAAGTTGACTTTTTTCTTCTTTTGATAAATGGAGCAATGGTGGCCTTCAGTGGGTTTATTGGCAAGCCATCTTCAGCACACCAGTCTTCAGTACATATAAATACATATGTACTGATTAGGAATGTTAATCCCCGGATCCCCGGGATCCCGGCCTTTTTAAGGTCCCAAAAATACCGGGATTCGTGGCAAATAATCCCGGGATTGTAACTTGCACTGGCGGCAATAATTGAAACTCCTTCTCTTGACCAGTATTGGATAGATTTTTTCTTTTATTTTATAATTTATATTTTTTTTTAAGTATAGGTCATTGCACGTACAACACCGCGCGGTAGTAAATTTTAAACACAAATTTCAATATTTACGCGAAACCATGGGCAAATATATAGTAAAATTGCGTTTTTAGTTTTTCACTCTGATGTCAGTAATTCAAAAATGATTTCAAAAATTTAGAGAAATAAGCTTAGATAAGAAGTATGGGTATGAAATTAAAGAGGAAATCCTGTAGAATCTAAACAGATTCGAGTTTTTGGTACCAGAAGGACTGGTAAGTATTGAAAATATCCTTTTAAAATTGTAACCTTGGAATTTCGCAATATTTTTGTTTTTGTTAAGGACTTATATAAACTCGATAACATCCTCGAATTCCGTCCTTCTAACTTTATCAGCTTAAAAAAACTACCTGTTCGTCCTCGTGAATCCAAAAAAATTTTATTTTTTTTTTTGTTTAATCTAAAGAAATCTTCTCTTGTATTTGGTACACATATTTTTATTCTACATTGCATTGAATTTTTGGAATTAATCATATGTTTGAAATTACAAAGTCCTTTAAAATAAATCCTGACGTCAGAGAGAAAAAATAAAAACGCCACTTTAAATAAAAAAGTAGGTTTCAAATCCATTTATTTATTATTTATTTTATGGTAGGAGAGCTTCTCAAACAATATAGAAGCAATTTTTTCGATTTAAGTTGTTGAAAAGTAATGAATACATTTTGAAGTCGAATTCTGATGATAATCGAATTCTGAAATATACCGTTCTTCAACCAAATTCTGAGATAGAGTGTTTTTCAATAAAATCCTGAAATATTGAGGGGGGTTTTTTAAACATTTTTTGAGATAGAGCATTTCCGAAATGGCTGCCGACCAGCAGTCGATATATGGATGTTCTTATTCTATACTGGCAATATTAAGGGTATACGATTGTGCTTACGAATCTGGTACATTAACATGTTTGCGGTCGCCATTAAACGAATGCACTATTGAAATATTCGCGTAAACACGGTTGCTAAAATGTTTGGAGACACATGTTTTCTATTTTTCGCAAATAATTATTATTGTCGCGGAAATCTAATTAAAAAGCTGGAATTTTTCGTTGATTTTTTTCTTTTAATATTGAACAAAGTTTGATATAGTTATATTTATACGTTTTTTTTTTTTTGCTAAAGAATAAGCTATATTTAAAAAAATAACTGAAATTAAATAACAAAAAACAAATATTGTCGTGCGCTATTATTTTGACACGGGGTGTAAGTCAGTTTTTATAACTTATAAATGGTTTTTATTAATTTTCGATTTGACCGATTAATCGGTTAATTGATTAATCGAAAGCATTCGATTAATAATTGCAATTAATCGTAAGAAAGATTATTAAATTTTTTTTGCCATCACTAGCCCTATACTATTCAAAATTTAAATTTTTTTTTATTTAAAATTGCAATTGTGAGCTGTGCGACTGATTTTAAATACATAATAAAATGGAAATAATTAACGGGCGGTGCCTTGTGTTTGCCAAGAGCAAGGACAACAAACTTGTGCGTTATTTTAAACCTCCGAATTGTCAACTGAAGCGACAACGGTGTGCGCATTGCTGCCTTGTAGTGCGTGCAACTTTATTTGTTGCCCATCGCAGCCGAGTATTTCTAAGCGGACGCGTTTCTTCCCAGATGCAGTATTTAACCTCTGAAGTTGGCAGGACAACTTTTTCCCAAAGCAAAAATTCCTATCGGATAATTTGCCGTAGAAGTTAGAAGGGCACCTTCTGAAATTCTGAAAACCAATTAAGGAAAACAACTAAACCCAAAATGAAGAAAATGAAGAACTAAATTCCGAAAGCGAAAATAATTTTGAAAGCGAAAAAATTTAAGCGAGATCAAACAAATTTGTAAAGACTTCTTCTGCCAAGTGGCAGCCCTGGGTTGAAGATATAAGAAATGAAGTAACCGCAAAAATTAACGAAGGTGATCATGAAAATGCGCATGCTGACGTAAAAATAGCGGAAAAATTACTAAGCGAATGCAAGCAGATTCCCATGTGGACCGCAATTTTTAGTAATAAATTTGATGTTGACAACACTCGGCCAGGCTACAGTGCACCTGTGGAAAGAAAGTGAGTTCAGGAATATTAAGCATGGAGTACTTGGAAAACAGGGCGAAACCACTCGAGTGGACGTGACAATTGAAAAACTTATAGACTATTACGATGGACGTGTTAAATTTTTATCGGACGAAAAAGAAAATTTTGGCGAAAAATGCGGCAAAAGCATGGAAACCCCAGAGCAATCATTCATAAAAGATACTAGGCACGAAAAAATTTCGAATGATTATGAACGCAATAAAAATTTTGCGATAGAAAATTACGATGAAGAGGCTATGGACACGAGTGAGAATTTAAGTGAACCGATTTTTACAAAAGATATAAAAAAATGGAGGAAAATAGTGTATTGACAAAACCTATAGTAAATGATAATCTTATTGAATCTCACGACTCTCCTGTGTGTAAAGCTAACTTTCGATCTCCGTTAAAAGATTTTAATTGTAATTATTTAAATTTATCTAACTCTAGTTTCCAATTTATAATTTGCCAACGCCAAATACATGCCGCTGATAATTGCTCCGTGCTTTACGGTGAAC